GGCGGGACCCCCCAGGACAGGAGAGGGCTACAGCTGGGGCCCCATCCTGGGGCGAGGTGGACCAAGCGATCCCTCCACGGGGGGTCCCGGCGGCCTTCCGTGCCGAGCGGACATCAAGAAACGCCCGGTCACCACCGACGGGGCCCCGCCGCCCGTCCGTGCCAACCCCAGGGCCACCGCTGGGCGCAGTTGCGAGGCGTGCGGAGACGACTGGGGAGGCCCGGCCCGCCCCTGCCCGAGCTCGGCTGCAGGACAGCGGCCCTGCCTGCGGGGAGACGCGGGCGTGAGAGAGGAACCCGCCCTGCGGTCCCCTCCCCCCCGCGGCTCGACCCCCGCAGCGGGAAGCCCCGGACACGCTCCGCACCGCGGCGGCCAGGTGTCGGCGCGGAGCCAAACGCAGCGATAGGGTGAGGTCGGGCATGTCCTCCTACAGGCGAATTGTGGAAGAAAATAAAAATAGTCAGACCAATATTCAAACATTCGCACGAACAAATAATTTAAAAATGTCCCACCATTTCCAATGATTCTAGAATATTCCTCCTGTAGAGGGACATGCCCGACTTAACGATAGGGGGCCCCGCCAGCAAGACGCGGACCCCCGGCCCCGGACGCCCAGGAAGGTCCACGGGGCCCGCCTGCAGGGACACATCCGCGCCCACTGCCCAAACGCTCCCAGGCAAACTGGGGGGGGGGGGCATCGCATCTCGCGGCCGCTGCCCCCGTCGCCAACGGCGGCACCGGCCGCTGGTGCGTGCCATCGAGCCCGCCCGGCCCAGAACCTCAGCGGCTGCTTGTCCACGCCCGCGGGCGAGCGAGACCGCCTCGGCGCACCCCGCCTCCCCGGGCCTGGCTGACAGGAGTGCCCGTGCGCAGGTCTCCCGGGAGCTCAGCAGTGGCTCCGCGCTGCCCGGAAGGCCGCGGCGCCCTCCTCCGCCCCTGGACACCCGCCGCACACGCGGCAGGATATAGGCCGCGTGGGCGCGAGCCGCCGAGGACGCAGCACCGCGCTGCTGCCGAGGAACTGCGCCCGCCGACGTGCCTCAAGGCCAGGATGATGGGCCTGTGTTCCACCACCACTGCCGTAAGTTGGAGGGAGGAAGGAGGAGGAGGAGGAGGAGGAGGAGGAAGAGGAGGATGGAGAGGAGGGGGAGGAGGGGGAGGAAGAGGAGAGGAGGAGGAGGAGGAGGAGGGGAGGAGGAGTAGGAGGAGGAGGAGGGGAGAGGAAGGAGGGGGGAGAGGAGGAGAGGAGGAGGAGGAGGAGGAGGAGGAATGAGGGGAGGAGGGGAGGAAGGAGGAGGGGAGGAGGAGGAGGAGGAGGAGGAGCAGGAGCAGGAGGAGGGAGGAGGAGGAGGAGGAGGAGGAGGAGGAGGAGGAGAAGGAGGAGGAGGAGGAGGAGGAGGAGGAGGAGGAGGAGGAGGGAGGAGGGAGGAGTAGGAGGAGGACGAGGAGGAGGAGCAGGAGGACCCCCTCCCCCTGCAACTCCTTTTGGCGGCGATGGAAAACAAGCCCATCAAAAGAGGCCGGCCCTCCAGTGGCCTCAGGGGAGGAGGGGAGAGGGAGGGAGGGGAGAGGGAGGGTGATACAGGGAATGGGGCTGGCACAACTAAGAGATGGTAGAGGAGGGAGGCCGAGGATGAAGGGAATAGGTTGCGGGAAGAGGACAGAGGTGTACGGGAAGAGTGAATGGGAGGGCATGGAGGTGGGGGAGTGAGAAGGAAGGAGATCTAGGAGGATCGGGTGGCGGGAGTGTAGAGAGGGGAGAAAGGGGAAGAAAGGAGGAGGAACGAGGGAGGAAGTGGACTTCTACTTCTCCTCCTCCTGCGTTCTCCCTCTCTGCCGCTGCTGCTGCCGCGGAGCAGGAACAAGGACGGAGGGGAGATGATAATGGAGAAGGACTGCAAGATGAGGAAACGGGACACATGCCTCCTTCTCCGTCTTCTCCTCGCTTCCTTCCGCCTGGCTCCTCCTCCTTGTTCTCCACCTTCCCCCTTCACCTTCCCTCCCCCCTCCCCCTCCCCCCTTTACCCCTCCTCTTTCTTCGTTCCTTCTCCCCTCCTCTGTCGTGCGCAAACGACGAGCGAGGACATTCCGCCTCATGAGGCTTTTGACGCACATCTCGAACATCCTAGACCACGCGCCCCGGTTAACCATACTTGCGAGGCTCATGATGCCTTTACAATCAAACATCTCCTTAACCTCGATGGTTGACTTACATCCGTGCCTGTCGGAGATTCTACAACATGAGACGACTGGCGAGGTGACTCTTAACATAATATCTACAACGTTCTTGCCCATGTAGCAAACGGACGCTACTGGCATACCGGTTCCAATCTGGTCACCGAACTTGACGTGCGCATCTGTGCCAGAGGAGAAGTGGAGCAGGAAGCGGAGGAGGAGAAGCTGAGGAGGAGAAAGAGGAGGACGAGGAGGAGAAGGCGGAGGAGGAGCAGAAGGAGGAGGAGGAGGAGGAGGAGGAGGAAAAGCAGGAAGAGGAGGAGCAGCAGCAGGATGAGGAGGGGAGACGAGTGAAGGAGGCGACGATGGAAGGAGGCGGCCTGTGGGGGGGGACCTGACCCGCCCCGGCCGCGACGGCGGATGCGGCCGAGAGGTGGTGCCACGGTTGCAGAGCAGCGGGAGAGGGCGTCGCGGGATGGGGGGGCCCAGCGCGGAGAAGGCGGGCAGGAACTACAGGAATTACAGCCTTCGCGTACCGAAAATATGAAATCCACTGCTCAAGCCATTGCTCGAGGCTCAGATCGCTGCCACTTAGGGAACTCGTCACGCTGGAACCTGCCCAAATATCCGCGACGAGCCTTGGAAATAGGTAGCTTGCACCCGGCTCCAAGTCCACGGCGGTGGAGGGGAACCCAGACTTGTGGCGACATCCGCCGAGGGGAGTCTGGTGGGTGGGGGGGGGGCTGTTATCGCGGGGGGGGGCGGCCACGGGGGGTTAACCGAAGTGGGGGGTGGAGAAACGGGCTCAGAAGGGGCCCGTTTGGGCCCCGTTGGGAGCCAGCAGGGGCCCGAAAGGAGTCCTAGAGGGCCCCATGCGGCGCCCTTCCATTCGCCCACCACGCAGGCCACCCCCCAATTACCACCCGCCCGATGTTTTGTAGAGTTCCTGGCGCCCTGGGGACCTCGGGGGAGATCCGGGAGACGAAAATAAACGAGTCTTATGCGAGATGGCATAGCGACCTTGCGCGGCGGCTTACGCGGGCCATCCGCGCGGCACGCTATACGAGGGCGCATACGCGCGACCTTACGCGGGCAACTTATGCGCCAAGGTCGGCGGCCCAAGACGGCCCGAGAGGGGCCAAAAACGGCGCCAGGAGAGGCCGAAGAAGGGAGCCAGGAACCGAAAAGTCCAGCCTTCAGCCCCACGACGCCCCCAGGAGGCCTCAAGAGGCCCCCAAGAGGCCACAAGGGGACCCCAAGACGCACCCCAAAAAGCCCAGAGGCCCCCAAGAGGCCCCAACACGGCCCCCAAGAGGGTTCAAAACTGCCTCCCAATGGCCCCCGAGATGCCAACCACGATAGCCCAACCAACATCCATGAGACCTCTGACCCTACCACCCACGCACGGTGGCGGGATGGGCCGACAAGGAATCCAGAATCACCAACCCACCCAGCAACACCGCAGTGACAACGATCACTCGGGCACTTGGCAGGGCAACGTCTCATGTAGCACTCGTCGAACGAGCGGTCCGAGATACCCACGATGGCTTCCAGAGAGGCCACCACGAGGCCTCCCAAGAGAGCCCCACAAGGCACACCCCGACAAACGAAAACGGCGAGGCAACATGGGCCGGCAGAGTGAGCGAAGCGATACATAATGATTGCTATTCTCTCTCTCTGTCTCTTACTCTCCCCTCTCTCTCTCTATCGAGTATGTTCCTTGCTGTGCATATTGTGTATGCGATCGCTAGTGAAATCTGCATTGGGAAGTTGATTGTCGTTCGGCCCTCATGCGGGGTAGTCCAGTCCTCCCGTTGGGCAGCAAGACTTCCTCCTCCTTTTGTCAATGTCTCCTTACCGCCCACGCCCTATACGATTCCAATTGGAATCTTCAATGAGAAATTGTTGTTCGTCAGCTATCCTAAGGGTTGGTGGTCCATACGAGGTAATCGCTCCCGCCCCGCAAGTAGCTTCATCTCAGCACCAGGGACCGCTGGGAACCAGGAGTTACCATCCTTCGGAGTTGTGATAGTAGTAGTCGTAGTAGTAGTAGTAGTAGTAGTAGTAGTAGTAGTAGTAGTAGTAGGAGAAGTAGTAGTAGTAGTGGTAGTAGTAGTAGTAGTAGTAGTAGTAGCGGTAGTAGTAGTAGTAGTAGTAGTAGTAGTATTAGGTGGTAGTAGTAGTAGTAGTAGTAGTAGAATGAAAAGTAATCGTAGTAGTAGTAGTGGTAGTAGTAGTCGTAGTCCTAGTCGGAGTCGTAGCGGTAGTAACAATAGTAGATGCAGCAGTAGTAGTTGTAGTCGTAGTAGTAGCAGCAGCAGCGGTAGAAGTAGTAAAATTAGTAGTAGTAGTAGTAGTAGTAGTAGTCGTGGAAGTAGCAGACGTAGCAGTCGCAGTAGTAGTCGTAGAAAGAGTAG